TCAGCCTCCCGAGTAGCTGGGACTGCAGGCGTGCGCCACCACACCCAGCTAATTTTTGTATTTTTAGTAGAGACAGGGTTTCACCATGTTGGCCAGGATGGTCTCGATCTCTTGACCTTGTGATCTGCCCGCCTCGGCCTCCCAAAGTCCTGGGATTACAGGCGTGAGCCACAGCGCCCGGCCGGGTCCACTTTTTAATATTTCATTTTGAAATGCTAGATGTATTAATAATTAGTACCTGTAACTTGATACTCATTCATTCAACAAACATTTGTTAAGACAATACGTTGTACCAGGCACTGTCTTAGGAAGTAGTCAGTGAATTGATGCTTTTGAAACTGAGGCCTAACCTATAAAGAGACTTTGTGTTTGTTATATAAACAGTGTTGACTTTACGTAGTTCGAATCTGGAATTTGGCCAAGGGTAAGATAAAACTAAGTTTTTTTTTTTTAATTGTTAACATTTTAAATATATTTGCCATGAGAATGAGCTGTCCTTTAAAGAATGAATCCGAAGAGCTACACTTACACATTATAGCGGAAAATACACGTCAAGGTTCGAAAAAAAAATAAATGAAACTTGAGATTTTTCCCCATTATTAGCTCTTAACTGAATTTGAATGTTTTAAATATAAGTGGTAAGATCCACTCTGTGAGTCAAAGATGGGCTAGCTGTGGTGGCTCGCGCCTGTAATTCCAGCACTTTGGGAGGCCAAGGCTGACTGATCGTTGGAGTTCTGGCGTTTGACACCAGCCTAGGCAATATGGGGAAACCCCATTTCTACAATAAAGGAGCGTGGTGACCCGCGCCTGTAGTCCCAGCTACTCCGGAGGCTGTCAGTAGGATCACTTGAGCCCAGGCAGCGAAGATTGCGGTGAGCCAGGATCGCACCAGTGCACTCCAGCCTGGGTGACATGGTGCAACCCTGTCTCAAAAAAAACAAAAAAAAAAAACAAAACAAAAAAGTCAAAGATGTGATTTTGGGTTCATAGATTCTGATTTATTTGTTTTAATTATGTTCAGGTCTAATTTCAAAGTCTCTACTTGAGAACCATTAATAATAGTTGGCTCTCGTTTTCCTCTGTGTCTGTTTTTAAGAAATATATTTGGTTTTTATGAAGACATCATAACTTACGTTCTTTTAACTAAAAACAGTGAAAACGTGTAATTCGAAGTAGTGTTCAATTTAATTCGTCATTCTTAGTCCTTGCTTTTCTTAGCAGCTTTTGTATATATACTCTCTGGAATGATTTGTTTAAAGAAAAGACAGAGTTCAGAGAAAGGAGAATGTGTTGATTTCCAAGTAGAACAGATAACTGAATTTTCTCAATAAATCATTATTAAAATTCAGCTGCATAACCCAGTGTGTATTTTTTTTCCTTTAATAAGCAGCCTCCAGATTTGTCCTGTCCAGTAGAGTAACAACCAGCTACATGTGGCTGTGGGCATTTGAAATGTGGCTAGTCTGAATGGAGCTGCTATAAGTGTATGTTTAACACATAGAGGATTTTGAAATATTTATTATGCAAAAAAGCCAGTATCTTATCAGTCTTTTAAAAGTTTGATTACATGTTGAAATGATAACTTTTGCGTATGTTGGGTTAATTATATTAGAATTAACTTTTTTTACTTTTTTACTTTTTAAAAAATGAGATTACTAGAGAATTACAGCGTATATGTGGCTTAGTTATATTTCTTTTGGACCTTACTGCTCTAGATCATAGCCTAATATAAAGGACATAGGTAAACATCTCAATTTGGGTAACTGTCAAAGGATTTGAAAACAAGTTGGATTACACCTATCTTTTAAGTCCCCTTGTTCAATGCCTGATTTATAATAGTGGCTGAATAAATATTTACTAAATATTACATGTAGCTCGATTTTTCTTAGTAATAATCATCCTTAAGTAATAACATTAGCAAGTAGTTCCATTTATTTTACTGGAATAAATGAGAGTTGAACAAGCTAATTTTAAAAACAGAATGTTGTGCTTTTATGATATTCTGTATTTTTCCAACAGAAATTGCCGGTTTGAGTATTATGTATTTGTTTTCTGTAGAATTTCTCAAGATTCCTCTTCATGTTTATATTTTATGAAGCTATCTTGACAAATGTGAGGAGTGAATGTGTAAAAAAGATCATGATGGTTATTAATATACTATGTTTGGGATTACTTTGCAGATTTATTTAATATATTCTGTACCCATTGTATTTACCCACCTCTCCTAACTTAGATGCTCTCCTAGTGAGCATATTGTTACTGAGATTGGAATCAGGGATTAGATTGTGTGATAAAGACAAGGCAGGAGTCAGAGATCAGGTGTTAAGGCACCAGTCCAAGTCAGGAGTCAGGATCTTATAAAAGTGCTGAACCCCACTTATTTGGGGTTTGGTATGGCCCCATTCATACATTTTGGTTCAGTTTGGTACGAATCCATTTATGAATCGATGAATGTGGAAATAAACTCTCCAGACTTTTATTGTTTCTTTTAAAAATATGTTACCAAATTGCTCTTCAGAAAGGATTTTTTAAAAAACCCCAATTTCCTCCTACCAGCAGTGCATTAGAGTACCTTTTTCACTGAGCCAGTCAGGAGTCATGTTTTTCATCTTCAGGTTACAGGGGAAACTGCTTTCTG